ACACACACATCCACTTGCACACACACACACACACACACACACACAAACACACACACACACACACACACACACACACACACACACATGCAACCCCCTACGACACGAATGCAGATATACGTACGGATAATTTGCCTTCCACCATCCTTAAGTATATGTTATTGGCCGATATAAATCTATGGGCAAAGCAGTGTGGAAGGGGAGTCATATGGAAGGATGAATTAAGCCTGTTGGTGAAGCCCCAGCTTTGTCTAGCGGATGCACTTAGGATGATACTTGAATGGGTATTTGTCCCATGCTTTATTGGGACAACCTGGACACCTTCATGCCATGACCAGTGGTAGGGAATGTGCGGTGCGAGGCATCGGGAGGTCTGATTAACTACAACAGGAGTGAACACCGTAAAAAGGGCCATCAAGCAGGTAGATAGGGTTTTATGGTTGTATATTTCTAATTTAGTATTTACTATATTAGTATATTCGCACCATGAAGGTCTTAAGCGAATAGTTTAGGCTCCAGAATAGGTGCACATAGGCTCACTGATACAGTCGCCAGCCTCAGACATACAGTGGGCATATTGCCAKGCTCATAMATSCAGTTCTCTCTCTCTCTCTCTCTCTCTCTCTCTCTCTCTCTCTCTCTCTCTCTCTCTCTCTCTCTCTCTCTCTCTCTCTSTGTKKTTATGAAGGTCCATGGCCTCCTACAAATTGTTTGCACTAGGCTCAAGTTGATATTTGCGTGTTGGTTCCTAGTTTGGATTGCTGGCAAGCCCGATCCTGTCCTCTCTAGACCGATTCACCGTTCGCAGGTTGGTTCCTGTTATGGATCTGCTTGTGGGAGAGGAGGCTTTCTTGATGGTCATCTGAATGTATTTCAAGAGCATATTGCCCTTCTGTAGTGTTTCTCTCCCTTTCATTGAGGGATGAGCTCATCTGTATGACACGACAGATATTAGCTCATACCTTTGCTTGGTTAGATCAGTGAGGTTGCTGCTCTTCTTTCTCACCCATGCCCTTGCATGTTGTCTCGTGTCTGTCACCTTGTAGCAGGTTGGGAGAGGGATCGGCCCGTGGTTGTTCGCCAGGGGGCCCAGCCCGGTCGACATATCCTAGACAGAGAACACACTCTCTTAACCCGAATAGAATGCACGCAGCAATTGACCCCATCTGAAAGAGACCTGGAACCAAACAGTTCTCTCCTTCTCTCTCTCTCTCTCTCTCTCTCTCTCTCTCTCTCTCTCTCTCTCTCTCTCT